TCCGCGTTCACGCCCACGCGCGCGTCGGCGCCCATCGTCCGCGCGCGACGCGCGATGGCCGTCGCGTCGCGTCGCGTCGTGCGGCGAGGTGCCCAGATTGCATCACGATTTGAATCGCCATCATCATCATCCCCGAGCTCGCGTCGCCCGCACCGCGCGACGCGCGTCACGCGTGACCGTCCGCGCGTGATGTCTGCGCGCGAGATCGTCGACGGGTTTCGCGCGCGCGCGGTGGCGCTCCCGCGAGCGCGGGAGACGTGGGTGGATGATGTCGTTCGATCGATCGCATCGACGACGACGACGACGACGACGACGGGCGACGTGGAGGCGGCGTACGCGTGCGCGGTGCTGCGCGGTGACTTTAACGCGTGCGCGCTGGGCGGGGGGCTGGGGGCGGCGATGACGCGTGGTGAGCGCGCGGAGGGGCGATTCGTGGTGCAGGCGGACGCGGCGGCGGACGACGGCGCGCGGGACGGATCGACGCGGACGCGATGCGCGACGCTGAGCCTGACGGATGGTCGAGACCGGTTCACGGCGAGGGAGTACGAAAGGATCGATGGACTGGGCGAGAACGAGGGATGGGCGGCGGGGATGAAGATCGCGCTGACGGATCCGTACGTCGGCGAGGACGGGTCGATTTGGTTGGAACGGGCGCGGTGCGCGATCTTGGGCGGACGCGTCGACAGGCTCGAGCGCGCGAGAGCGCGGGCGATGGCGGTGTTGGGGGGGGCGAATCGGCCCGGGGATTCCGAGGGGGCGCGGCGAAAGCGGGCGCTGAAGGCGGCTTGGGAAGACGATGTGTCGAGGTTCGAGCGCGCGGAGGACGGGCGGGACGGATGCGAACCGAGCGCGCCGAGCGCGCGCGCCGTCGTCCGGAGCGCGGCGATCGTGCCGGATTCTTTAGAGGTGCACTCGCCCGCGATCGTGCCGGCGACACAGATGGATGCGATGGACGTCGACGACGGCGAAGCGTTGCGAGCGAGCGACGAAGCGAACGCGTCGGGCGTCTCCCGACGGAGCGCGCCGCCTTCGTCGCTCGAGCGGGACTCCGCGCCCGCGTCGTCGGGTCGCGGAGTACCGCCGGATGAGCGCGTTCTCGACGTGGCGAGACATTTTAATCGCACGGCGATGAAGGGTCTCTGGACGTACATCGCCGCGATGCAAGCGGCGCGAAGCGTGGGCGAATGCGAAGAGGCAACCGTCCACGCCTGGATCGCGCGCACGGGCAAAATCGAGGTGCAAGAAGAGGCGCGTCCTCCGCTCTGGCGACTCAAGATGCAAATCTCGGATCCCACGGGCGTCGTAACGGTCCTCCTACGCAACGCTCAGCTCGAATCCGCCACGGGCACGACCGTGTCGGAATACTTAGCCGCGAACGAAGCGCGTAAACGAGACATTGAGACCGCCGCGCGGACGCGTCTTGAGACGTTTTGCGGACGCGTCAAAATTGGTGGATTAAAGGGCAAGCACCTCTTCGTGCTCAAACTTGACACGCAACCGACGACGTTCAAGTCATCCGTCGCGGATGCCCTCCGCGCTCGCGCTGCATCCACACCTAGCCACGTAGCGTGCGTTTCATAGCGAGCGAGACTTCACGACGGCCAGCTCCGTTCGCCTCAGAGTTCCGCTCGCGAGATTCCACCCGAACGCCGTCGAGCGCGACGGACGAAAGGAGGGATGCGTTCGGCACGGAAGTGAACGGCTCGCTCGGCGCGCGGCGTCGCGTCGCTCGATCGCGCGTCGCGCCGCGCGGCGGTTGAGTTGGCCGTTCCGCGCGCGATGGCGTCGATAATGCGCGTCGCGTTCACGCTCGCCATCGCCCTCTTACGCATCACCACCGCGATCGCGCGCGTGATCGCGCGCGGCTGCTCCGCGCTCGTCGGCGAGCGGTGGTTCGAAGACGACGTCGTTGGGGACGAGCACGCGAAAGACGACGAAGACGACGAAGACGAAGACGAAGACGAAGACGGGCGAGACGCGCGGCAGATCCCAGAGCGCATCGCGGCGTCGACGTCGGACCGCGGGCGGCAGTTCGAGAAGCTCCGCGCGTACGAGGCGTGGCGAGAGGAGTTTGGGATCGATCGCATCTTGGAGACGCCGAAACCGTACTTTGACGCGGTGAAACGTTTGTATCCGCACGCGTTGCACGGCGTCGGACGCGCGCGGGGGGGAGGGGCACACGTGCAGATTGAAAAGGCTGGGCAATTCGGGACGCTTTTGGAGACTCTTCGGGAGGATTTCGGCGTGGATGATCCGGCGCGCGTCGTCGTCGAACACGTGTCGTACGTCATGACCTTTGTGTTTGAAGAGTTGGATACGCGTCCTTGGCCGTTCGGGAAGACGATACGAATCGTCGACGTGAGTCAGCTCGGGATGAATGATTTATCATTCGACGTCTTTGAGTTTTTACGGTACATGTCCGACACGTCCAAGCGCGCGTTCGTCGAGCGCGTTCACAAGATTTACGTCTTGCACCCGCCGGCGGTTTTCAGGGTCCTCTTTAACGCGTTCAAGCCGCTCTTTTCCGAGAAAACGTTGAAACAAATCGTCGTGTGCGGTACGCTGGGTGAGTTCACGGAGTCCGTCAAGAGTGAGGTGGACTTGAGAGACATCCCGCGAGAATACGGCGGCGAGTGCGCCTGTGAGAATTGTTGGACCGACGACGAACGCGAGCGTCGACTTCGCGCGCACGCGCTTTCGCTCACCGCTCGATCCGGGCGTTCGACGTAGCGTTGCGTAAGAATTGTACACGCATTGTAACGATACCTTGATGAAGACAGAAAACGACGAAGCAAAGCAAAAGAATTCAGGTATTACAATCGACCCGCCGAAGTCGTCTTCCAAGTGAGGTTCCCGGATCCCGAGTTCGCTCGTCTCCTCTCGTCGTACTCCCGCTCGTACGCTTCAATCTCTTCCGGACTCATCCCATCGTACGCGTCCCCACTCGGTGCCGTCTTTCGCACCAACGCCTCGATCTCCTCCGGACTCAGTCCCTCGAACGGGTCCTCGTCCTCGTCCCCGTCGTCCGCCGATATAAAACTCCTCCCCTCCAACGCCGCGCTCACCGCCCTGCGATCGCTCTCCATCTTCCGTTTCCGTTCCTCGTTCGTCTCTCCCTCGTCGTAGTACCGCTTCGCCCTCGAACCGACGACGAACGCCACGCCGAGCGCGAACGCCGCCCAGTACGCCTTTTGCCACGTCTTCATCTCTCCCGTCCACCGCTTCGAATCCAGCACCGCGCGCTCCCACGGGAACATCACCGACGACAGCGGGTTATCCGTGCCACCCTCCGGGGCTTTCCCATCGCGCTTCGGCGGCGACGACGACGCTCGCGACGACGACGCGACCGCTCGCCACGAATTCTCCCCGCGCCCCGTCCCCGCGCGCGTCCGGCCGCTCGCGCGCGCCCGCGCGTCGAGCACCGCGTCGCGCGCCCGCGTCGCCGTCGTCACCGCCCGTCGGCGCATCTTCGCGCGCGCGAGGCGTCGCGCGAGCGTCTGATGCATTACTCGGCGCGAGGCACCACTTCGCGCCGTCGAGCACCGCGTCGCGCGCATGGACGCCGCGGACCCCGATCTCGCGTCCGCGCGCGAGTTCCAGGTCGCCCTCGACGCCGTGCGCGTCTCCGGCGCGAGCGCGCGGGAGGGCGCGACGGGCGAACGAACGCCGACGCACGCGTCGAGCTTCGATGCGTTTCGAGATTTTGTCGCGACGCGAGGCGACCTGACGCGCGCGCTCGCCGTGGGCGCGCGCGCGAGGGTGTACGAGGTGGACGTGGACTCGAGGACGGGGGTCGTGCGAGCGTCCGATCGACGATTCAACGCGCTGGCGTCGCATCGATCGATCGGGGCGTCGAACGTGTCGCTGGCGCTGTACCTGGACAGCGCGATGCACTTTGGGTTTCTGATGTTGATCCTGTGCGCGGTGTCGATGTACTCGATGGTGAAGAATGTGAGCGATGAAAAGTTCACGTCGAGCTACGAGATCAGGGGTTGGAATGGGACGGTTACGTGCGAGCGGAGTTACGACACGAGCGGACTGGTGCTGAGCCTGAGTCAGGGGTCGCGGTGCGCGATCGGGGCGCAGGAGAGCTATTATAACTGCCCGATGGCGTGTAGTTACGCGGATACGAGCGGGACGTTCGATCCCACCAACGCGTGCTCGACGCACTATCCGTGCACGCTGAAGAATTTGCTGACAGACGCGCAGGACGCTTTGTGCTGCGAACCGCAGTTGTTGAACAACAACGCGGGTGCGCCGGAGGAGTTTCAGGCCATCTCGATCGTGGTCACGATTGTGTTTTTGTTGTTCGATTTCGTGTACTCGAGAAATCGTCGAACGGTGTCGGACATCGTGATAGAGAGCACGGTGACGACGGGCGATTACTCGGTCATCGTCTCTGGGCTAGGAAAACGAAACGAATGGACGCGAGAACAGCTCGCAAAGTGGTTCGCGCACTACGGGGAAGTTGTCTCGGTATGTCATCTCACGAACACCGCAGGTATCGTCGCCTTGGAGAAGAAAATTCAAAAATTAGTAAAGATAAAAAACGAAATAGACGCTACGCTGAGCACTCACGAGTTGGCGGACGAGGAGGTTGATGCGCCCACCAGAGCGCGACGATTTTTGTTTCGCATGATCGTGCTGAGAGGTATGAAACCGACGCTTGAGAATTCAGAGAAACTTCGGACAGAGATTGAAAAGCTTCAGCAGAAGCTCATCTCCTTGCCCGAGTACGGCAACTTCAACACGGGCACCGCGATAGTGACCTTCAACTACGAGCAGCACGCGCTGAATTGTATCGCCGATCATTGCAGTGACGCCAGCGAGCTAATGCTGGCCAAGGCCACGCGAAAGTTTCCACCCGACTTCTACGGTCGCCGACTCATCGTCGCTCGCGCACCGGAGCCGAGCGACATCAACTGGCAGAATCTACGCAGTCGGAACCATGCGTGGGAGAACGCAGTAATCTGGATTTCCACAAAGCTGATCCTCGCCGTGGCGATCGCCGCTGGCGGTGGCTTGCAGTATCTGTTTGAATACTTGCGAAGCAAACAATTCGATAAACTGAGCGACGAACTCACGATTTCCTCATCGTACTCTACGTCCACTTACATAAAACTTCAACTCATGGCGTCGGCGACGTCGTTGGTTGTCGTGTCGATCAACTTTGCGCTCGATACACTCACGGTCAGGCTGTCCGATTGGGAGGTGTATAACACACAAACGTCGAAAACAAACTGGCTCATGGCGCAGCTTACGATCGTTAACTTGGTCAACTATGTCATCATTCCGATCGTCTCCAACAGATGCTCCAACACGGCAGATGGCGTTTGCAACTGGTACGTTCCCGGTGGCTTCATCGAAGTAGCGTTTTACATGCAAGTGTTCAACGTCATCGCGATGCCGTTCCGAATATTCACTCCGAATAGCGTCATCCGTCGAGATGTACTCGCGCCGTTAGCGAAAACTCTGCAAGTGCAAGTGGATCTCGTCAATCCGCCGGATTTTGGAATGGCGAGGTCGTACGCAGAGCTTTTGAAGACTGTTGGTTTCGCTGCAATTTACGCTCCCGCTCTTCCGGCGAGCTACATCGTCGGGTTCGTCGGAGTATTCGTACTTTACTGGTGCAAAAAGTTTCAAGGTCTATACATCGCGCGAGCTCCTCCAAAGCTTCGCGCAGATGCGTTTGGAATAACCGCGACGGCGAGGATAATCAACCTGCTGCAGATCATCATCGGCTGCACCGTGTTTTACCGTTTCGACGCGGGAATCGACAACACGCTGTGGGCTAATCTCGGCATTTGGGCTGTCGGTATCATTCCTATTCGCACCATAATGAAGTTATTTTTTGTGGCTCAGGCTACGAGGGCGGCCTCCACGAACAACGTGTCGTTTGAGAAAAACTTGGGTATGCACATCGGCGGTGAGGTGCGATCACCAAAGGCTGATGATGCTCTGCGATCGTCTGCCACGATCCCTCGCGAACGCGGAGACGTGGCCACGGCCGAAACACGAGCACAGCAAGTCCGTAACGCGTTTGTGTGTCGAATGTACAGATGTGAACCGGAGGATTTGGAAGAGAGGGTCAAACTGTTGATGTACTACCCTGACGTGCCGACGCACGCCACTCCGGAACAGCTCGAGGGGTTGTTGAAGAAGTATGAGCCGTTACAAAAAATTGAGCGTGCGAACACGGCGTATCTCGAACGACAGACGGCGGCAACTGGCGGCGAACACGCGCGACCGCCTGATAATAAGCACGCGAAGGCAAAGCTAGACATCCTGGCATCGTTCCAGCGAAGACAACGCGCTTCGCAAGCTGACGAAGAGGACAAAATACAATAGTTGGGCATTTAAGCGCGCTCTACAGGTAATATAGTAGTCACAATTATCCGCAAACCTCCTCCACTACCTCCTCCCATCTCTTAGCTTCGTTGAGGGAAAGCCCCTCGATGCCTTCTCGAGCTCGTACCTTCATTTCTGCAACCACTGCATGCTCCGCGCTTCCTCTGCATAGTCCGAGTTCTTTAAACGCGCGCAAACATCCTTCCGGTGTACTGAACAACACACCGACCGCATGCGTCTCCCAACCGTCGCCTTTTACTTGCGTCTTCATTGGTGGGCCCAGCGCGGCGCACGCGCGAGCTTCGCATAGATCGAATAGCTGTCTGTTACCCGGAATGTCTCTGGCGAACACCAACGTTCCCAGCATCATCCCCTCCGCGATCACGCCGCTCTGTCCCTCTGAGATCGACGTGTTCAGTAATACTTTGGCAGCAGCGATGTATCGCAAAACGGTATCTCGATCAGTTCCAGGTAGAAGCGTTCGATCAAAATCTCCGGGTAACGTGAAGCAACGTTTCACGAGTTTCCCGTATGCTTCGTCGATTACGGGACCACAGACAGTGAGATGTACGTTATTTCCGTCCGCGTTGAAATCTCTCAGCGCATTTTCGATGAAGCACACATCCTTCACTGGTCGCAATCCTGCGGGAAGGAACATGATCGGTGTTTCGCCCGAATTCAGACCAGACACTGTGTGAAGCTGTAACAGTTCGGATATCGCAGGAGAGTTATCTCGCTTACGCTTGGGCGATGGGACGCCAACCGCGTTCACACTGTTCGGCACAGAGACACCCTGAGGTATCAGCTTTGTCTTGGAAGATGCGCTCGACTCTACGAATTCCAGCGATCCTTCTGGCGCCGCCTCGATCATCGAAAGCGAAAACGCCACGACTTTGCGCGCAATGGCGACGCGGTCTCTGAAAACTTTTTCAGCGAACACAGATTTCTTCGAGTCTATGTTTACGTCGGTGCCACCGAGCACGAGCACGACGGGCGGAAGTAAATCGCCGTACATCCCAACGACATCGATGATGATCCCACACTTAAACGCGTGCAAAACTACGATCAAGTCGACGTCCATTGCCTTGATGACGTTTGCGATGTCCTCTTTCGACTGCGGCAAATCAAGGATTGAACGAGTCACCGCATCGATGCCGTTATCGTAGAGGTGTGTTGCGATTCGATGCATCGTCACCGTATTCCCACACTTTGCGTCGGATTTATCTCTGATGGGAATAACGCACAATGCGCGCTTTCGCAAACCTCCAAAACCGTCGCCGCCTATGGCTGCTCTAAATCCGCTAAACGTGTTGTGCATATGCGGCCAAAAGGAGTGACGATATCCGGCGCGTGCGATCGGCGAGCTCGTGGCCCAGCACCCACCCTTGACGACCTTACGGTATCCAAACCAAGGACAGCTATTTTCACGGTACGGAAAGTCCATCTGAAACCCAGGGAACGGTAAAAAAGCAGACGCCGTCCACTCCCACACGTTTCCAATCATCTGTCGACATCCGTGCGCGCTGTCCCCTTCGTTCAAGGCGTCGACGTCCAAAGTCCCACCCCGATATCCGTCTAAATTCACAATCGAGCTCGTGGGTGGATCTTCTCCCCAAGGGTAGGTTCGTCGCTCGTGTGGCGTCCCCGGGGTGGACCTCGCCGCGGCTTCCCACTCAGCTTCTGTGGGCAAGCGCGCGCCGATCCAATTGCAATACGCCTCCGCCTCGTACCACGAGACGTGACACACCGGATGCTGTGGATGTAACGCACGTGCTTCTTCGTCGAAATACTTGCACCGCCAATTTGCGAGCGCGGGCTTTTCGGTCCCGTCCTCACAGAACTTTACACAAGGCGAAGCGACCCATCCGAGCGGTCCCAGACATTCGCCGTCAGCCTTTCGACGCTGAACCCAACGCCATCCCTCGTGACTCCACAACGATCGATTAAGATACCCTCCGCACTCGATAAACGCCGCAAACTGCGCGTTTGTGCAGCACGTCTTGGCGATCTTGAAACCCTGCATCGGCACGTCGTGCGCCCATCGCTCGGCGTCGAACACCCATCGGTCGGTTTTGAGCGCTCCGAGCACGTACGTATCGCCCACGTCCACGGTGGAGTAGCCCGCCCGAGTGATGATGTTCGTCGTCGACGGCATCGAGATCTCGCTCGCAGACTTCATGTCGACGAACCCGCCCCAGAGATCCGCCGGGTACCGCCGAATCGTTCGCGCGCCTCCGTGATTTCTCGCGAGCGCGGGCGTCGAGTACCCGAGCGTGTTCCTCGCCTGCACGTAATCCTCCACGTGCCAATGCTCGTGCACGATACCGTAGAGATGTAAATACGTCTCACACGCCCCCATGACGCGCGAATCGTCCTCTCCCAACAGCGCCTCGCACTCAGCCGCCGCGCGATGACGATACGCCTCGCATCGCGCCGCGTCCGCCTCCGTCCCGCACACCGCCTCCGGTCGCCACCGATCGACGTAATCCGCCCTAAAACTATCGAATAACCCATCGACATCAACGTTCTCGTCTCCGAACACCTCTCTGCGCATCTTCAGCGCGTCCCGCGTCGCGCTCAAATTCTCCGCCGTCATGCATTCGTAAAAGTGCCCGACGTGTCCGTCCGACCAATCGAACGGATTACACCCCCCCTCTCGCGCGCACCGTCGCTCGCGCGCCGTCAAATCACCCATCGTCATCTCTCGCCGCTCCCGCACGTCCGCGTACATCGCTCGCACGACCCCCACCGCGAGCTCGACGTGTTTCTCTCCCATCGTCCCGAACACATCCAACGCCAAAAGTTCGCCCTCATCGCGTCGTCCATCCCCCGTCGTCCCGCGCGTCGACATCGGCGCCCGCGCGTGCACGCCGTGGAACGCGCGATCGCGCGGGCGCGCCATCGCCGGCGCCTCGCGCGCGCGCGGCGTCGACGCGGGGCGCCGCGCGGGTCTATAACCAAACACCATACGACGACGCACACGATGGGCACCCCGCGCGCGGCTATAACCAAACACCATACGACGACGCACACGATGGACGCCCGCGACACGTCGCGCGCGCGCCGTCCCGCGATCGTCCATACATTCACCCGTCGAACGCCATGTCGAACACCGTCGACGACCGTCCACGCACGCGCGCGACCGGGACGTACATGGGCGTGCGCGAGCTCGAATACGAGGGTGCCGCCCTCGGTCGACACCGCGACGGTTCATCGACGCCATCGCGCGACGCGATGTCGACGACGACGACGACGACGACGACGACGTGGCGGCGCGCGAACGCGCGCGGAACGGGCGGGACGGACGCGCGAACGTGCGCGCGGCGCGGCGGACGCGCGACGGCGCGCGCGCGGGTGGGACGCGAAAAGGCGCGACGGGCATCGAGCGGATGCGCGCTCGGCGTGGACGCGCGGACGCGCGATGGGACGATGACGACGGCGGATGCGCGAGCGCTCGTGGAGTCGTTCGCGCGGGTGTCGCTGGCGCCGACCGGGGCGTCGCCGATCGAGCGGGCGCCGAGACTTTCGGAGGCGCTCGGCGGCGCGGAGATTTTCATCAAGCGCGACGACGTCTACGGGACGATCACGGGAGGGAATAAGACGAGGAAACTTGAGTATTTACTCGCTGAGGCGCTGGATGCGAACGCGGAGCGCGTGGTCACGCAGGGGGCGACGCAGTCGAACCACGCGCGACAGACGGCGGCGGCGTGCGCGCGGCTCGGGTTGAAGTGTCACGTGCTGTTGGAAGATCGAACGAAGCGGGTGGATCAAAACTACACCGCGAATGGGAACGTTTTGTTGAACTCGCTCTTCGGAGCGACGATGGAGTATCGCCCGGGCGACCAAGGATTGAACATGAACGACGAGATGCTCGCTTCGTGCGAAAGCTTCCGCGAGAAGGGCGAGAGCGTGTACGGCATCGTCGGCGGTGGATCATGCCCGACCGGAGCGCTCGGATACGTGCGAGCTGCGATTGAAATCTTGGAACAAGCCGATGCGATGGGACTTGAGTTCGATTACATCGTGCACGCCACCGGCTCGGCGGGTACGCAGGCGGGACTCGTCACCGGTTTGCACGCCGTGGGATCCAAGACAAAACTTCTTGGATTCGGCGTGCGCGCGCCCAAGGACGTGCAAGAGACCAACGTACACAATCTCGCGGTTAAGACGTGCGAAAAGCTCGGGATCTCCCCCGTCGATCGCGCGGATGTCGTGGCGGATACGAATTACGTCGGCGACGGGTACGGATTTCCCGCGGATAGCACCATCGAAGCCATTCGCGAGTTTGCGAGTCTCGAGGGCATCTTGCTCGACCCGGTATATTCCGGCAAGGGCGGTGCCGGCCTGATTGACTACTGCCGCAAAGGCTTGTTCGCTCCGGGAACAAAAGTGTTGTTCCTCCACACGGGAGGTTCAACGTCGCTCCACGGCTACCTCGATTCTTTCGCGCAATAATTACAAATACCAGTAACAGTTATTAAGCTCGGGTTGATGATTTATTGTATTACACGAACTAATTTTTACATCTCTACGGGCGCGTCAGTACTCGCGCAGAGCGACGCCCGGCTCAATCGTTCGCCACCTAGGCGTCGCGCGCCGATGCTCGCGCGCGTTCAGGATCCATCCCAATCGATTCGCCCGTTCGAAAACGTCCAAATCGTCTTCCATCACCCTAAAGTGATCATCCATCGTCGCCGCGCGTCTCCGTAGCCACGCCTCCGTCGCGCTCGCCGCGCGCTCGACGCTCCTCGGCACCACGGGCGCTTTTCTGGACGTCGCCGCGCGCAAACGCAACTCGCGCGCCAGTCGTTCCTCCTCACCCCGCGCCCTTTCGATCTCCTCCGTCCGACGCCGCACATCCATCGCGTCTCGAGCTCGGAAGTACGTCAACATGGCCTCGTTCGAACGTCCACTCGTCGTCGCGCGCGCCTCTTTCTCCGCCCGCTCCGCTCGCTCGTTCGCCCGCGCTCGCGCTCGCGCCTCCCGCGCCTCTCGCCCCTCCTCGAACACCGATCGACGCACCGCCGCCGCTCGACGCGCCTCTTTCTCCGCCGTCTCTCTCGTCCTCGCCTCTTTCTCCGCCCGTCGCGTTCGCCACGCCTCGACTTTCATTTTATTTTCTCTCGCCATCGACCGTTCATCCTCCGCTCGACGAATCTCCCTCGTGGCGTCGATGAAACGCGATCGATCGCTCGTCACGCACGCCGGGGAGACGCACCACGACACCAGCCCCGCGCTCGCGCGTCTCTGCGCCCGAACGCGTCGCGCGACGTCGTCGAGCGTCGTCATTCGTCGACGCGACGACTTTTGACGGTTCGAGTTCTCCACGCGCGCCCATGTCAGCCGCCGACGCCGGGGCGACCGCGGCGTCGAGGACGTGGCGGGTCGTGCGGTTAGCCGCGACGTACGGGTTCGTCGCGCGCGTCGTCGGCGCGCTCACGGCGTCGACGAGCGAGTTGCGTCGAACGTCAACGCCGGTGAACGATGCGACGACGACGTCGACGACGTACGCGCCGGTGTGTCGAAACACGTTCGCGAGGCGTGAACTCGTGGATGTGCGCGTGTGGACGACGACGGTGGCGGGTTCGGACGCGGATGCGGATGGAATGACGGAGATCCCGAGAGACGCGCCGGCGCGCGCGTGGTTCGCGCGAGGTTTGGCGGAGACGGAGCGCGACAGCACGATCTCGATCCCGGAGGGACAGGCGCTGCGGGTGATTCGTGAGAACGCGACGTTGCGGTTGATCGCGGCGGTGAGTCGGAGCGGGCGGACGATCGATCCAGAGGAAGAGACGTTCGACGAGCGAAACGTGTTGCTCGCGTCGATGGATTTGACTGTGAGACGGGAACGGAAGGTGATCAAGCGGAGGAAACTGTTAGAGAGCGGGGAGGAAGAGACCATGGAGGAGGAGGAGGAGGGGACCGTGATGCAGGCGTATTTTAAACCAAACGCGACGTTGACGCTCGTGGACGATTTTAACGCCTATCGGCCGGAGACCATTCCGAACGTGCTCGCTGAGAAAATGCGCTTCACGGACGCCGAGCGATCGGGATACTATCCCACGCTGTATTTTAACGAGTTTTGGATGATCAATAGCTACCTGCAGCCATTGAACGAGACAACGGCGAAGTCTTTGAAGCTAAATTTTGAGTACGCAACACTGAGCCAGGTGAAGTGGCAGTTCCAGACATCGATGGAAAAGACGTGGGAAACGCATAGACGTTTCGGCGTTTCGAGCGAGAGAGATTCGGACGACTTGAAGAAGATTTTCTTGGAGGGTAATCCATACCTGCTCGCGGTGACAACGGTGGTGAGTTTACTGCACACGGTTTTTGATTTCCTCGCGTTTAAGAACGACATTTCGTTCTGGAAGAATCGAAAATCAATGGAAGGCTTGTCCTCGCGCAGCGTCGTCGTCAACGCCGTGTGTCAGGTCGTCATCTTCATGTACCTCTGCGACAACGAGACTTCGTGGACCATTCTGATTTCGTCCGGCGTCGGCACCGCGATCGAGATCTGGAAGGTGACTCGAGCGCTCGACGTGTCGTTCGAGAAGGGACGACTTCGTCTCAAGGACAAGGCGTCGAGCGTCAAGAGCGAGACTGCCAAGCACGACGCCGATGCCGTGAGATATCTCTCGTACGTCCTATATCCGTGCGTGCTCGGGTACGCCGTTTACTCGCTTCGCTCGCACGAACACAAATCTTGGTGGTCCTTTGTGCTCGGCACGGCGGTGAGCGGCGTGTACTCATTCGGCTTCATCGCAATGTGTCCGCAACTGTACATCAATTACAAGCTGAAGTCTGTCGCCGCGATGCCGTGGCGCCAAATGGGGTACAAATTCTTGAACACCATCATCGACGATCTCTTCGCCTTCGTGGTGAAGATGCCGACGCTTCACCGTCTCGCCGTCTTTCGAGACGACGTCATCTTTCTTGCGTTTCTCTACCAGCGCCGCCTGTACAGGGTCGATCCAAAGCGCGCGAACGAGTTCGGTTACGTCGCTGATGTCTCGGACGATCGTACCGAGGCTGTTGTGCCCACCGAAGACGCCGAGCGCGATCGCGAGACGCCGGATGAATCGAAGAAGGACCGATGATAGCGCTCGCGACTCGCGCGTCGCTTCAACTTGTAACGCGGCTCCGCAACGCCCATCACTCCTTCCCCAGTCCCGGGCGCGTCGGGCGCGGCGAATGCCGTCCCGCGTCGCCGACGCCGACCCCGACGACATCGCTCGCCGCTACGCCAAGTCCCGCGAGCGAAGAGAGCGTCGTCAGCGTTCGCGAGAGGCCACGCCGAGTCCCAAGAGCTCGAGCGCGTTCGATGGCATTCGCTCCTTCTTCAAGCTTTCTCCACGAAACGCGAGTGAAGACGTCGCGGACGTCGAGCGGACGGCAGACACGTCATCGCGCTCCGTGGCGGACGCGCGTGAGAGCCCTCGGAGCGAGCGTTCGGAGCGCACGGGGCGGAGAGAGGGCTCGGCGGGTGTTGGGCGAGCGCCGAGAGCGCGCGAGGACGGCGACGAGCGGCGACCTCTGTTGCGAGGAAGCGCGAGGGGGGACGGCGATGATGATGATGATTTATTCGCTCCCGAGCGCGCGGCGAGCGGGAGACGGGTGGGCTGGGGTGGAGCGAAGCTCACGCGAGAGTCGCTGCAAATGTTGGGCGGAGACGTCGAGTCTGGGACGGAATCGGCGACGCGAGCGCGGGCGCTTCGGGCGAGCGTCGAGAGCTCGGGGTTGTCTCGACGAGTGATGCTGCTGCCCAAAGCGTGGAGACAGTGGGCGGCGATGGCTTCCGTGTCCATGGCGTGCTCGTGCGCTGGGTTGGCCATCGGCTTTCCGTTCGCGGCGCGGCGAACGTTGGCTTGCGGTCCCGCGGGTGCGTGCGACGACGGGGCAGGGCGAGAGGAATTCGGGACGTTAAATTCTACGCTCTTCGTGGGCGCTGTTCTAGGCGCACTCATCGCCGGTCGCGCGTGCGATCTTTTCGGTAGGAGAACGACGGTGGTGGGTGCGACGATTCCCGCCGTCGCGGGTTGGATAGTGGTGTTCTACGCGAAGGCGTTTTCCGTGCTCTCGCTCGCCGGGAAATTCACGGTGGGGATTTCGGTGGGGATGCTTAGCGCGGCGGCGCCGGTGCTCCTGGGTGAGGCGGGCTCGGGTCAAAATCGCGGCGCGCTCGCTGTGTTGCCCATGGTTGCGGTGGCTAAAGGAGTCCTATTCATGTACATCGCGAGCTTGGCGCGAGTGGTGATGCACTGGCGACACTTCGCGGCTTTGTGCGCCGGTATGAACACATTAGCGTTCGTCGTCACCGCGTTAGCGACGGTCGAGTCACCAAGGTGGTATCTGTCGAGAGAGATGCCAGTGCACGCCGTCGACGCGTTGACGACTCTTAACGGCGCTTGGGAAGAGATTGAGGTGATGGAAGAGATGGCGAAAATTATTTCTAGGGAGAACGCGAAGACGTCACCGCCAGGTGCTTTCGCGCAGTTTAGGTTCTGGCATCTCGTCACGTTGGATAACTTGATGAGATGCGTCACGATGACGTGCACGCTAGTTGGTGTACAGCAGCTCAGTGGATTATCCTACGCGGTTTACGACGATCCGGAGATACCGGATGATGCCGCGGTACCATCCTCGGAGGAAACGCGCGTCGCGTTCATCGTCGCGCTCATGATCGGCGTGATGATGTGCTCAAGGTTCGTTGATCACTATGGTCGAAAACCGTGCATGACGGCGTCTTTGATTGGCATGCTCATCTCCAACGTCTCCATAGCCGCCATTGCCTCTGGTATGCACTTTGGGCCGGCCAGAGACGCTTTGGACGTTTCCGTCGTATGCTACGCCTTCTTTTTTGGTCTCGGCATGTCCGGAATACCCGCTCTCATGTCGGTCGAGTTGTTTCCGCAGCACACGCGCGCGACGGCGTGCGCCTTCCTTTGCGCCCTCCACTGGCTCTACGCGTTCGCCGTGACGTTCGCCTACGAGATCGCCCTGGAGGTATTTGGCTCCGCCGCCGTCCACGGCTTCTTCGCAGTGGTCTGCGCCCTCGGCGCCTTCTACGTCGCCCGCTTCGTCCCAGAAACCTCCTCGAAAACGCTTGAGGACACCGTGGCCCTCCTCACCCCGAGATCCGACGCCACGCGCGCTCGGACTCGACCCATTTCTTCGCACGCGCGCGCGAAACCACCCCGAAACGTCCGCAGTGTCCTCCTAGCCTGACACCGCGGACCCGCCGTAGACGTTTCTAACCGCCGCCAACGCACCTTCTTCCACCCCCTCTCTCCACGAGTCACGACCCAGAAAACCGCACACACCCACGCCATGTCCCTCGCCCCGCTCGTCCACGTCCTCTACTGCGGCTCCTGAGGTGACGATCGCTCGACGCGCCCGTGAACGAACGCGCACTGACGACGATGACGCGCGCGCAGGGTACTCGCGATTCGCCACGGCGATCGAGCGCGCGATTCACTCGAGATTTCCCTCGGCACGCGTCGAGTGCGAACCGACCACGCACGCCTCGGGCGCGCTCGAGATCACCGTGCGCGGGGTCTTAGTGCACAGTAAACTGAACGGAGATGGATACGTCGACGGGCCGGAGAAGATCGAGCGCGTGTGCGTGACGCGGAATCGACGCGACGCGGGTTCGACGCGACGCGACGCGACGCGGGAGAGAAGTATTCGCTGACGTATTATTTTCGTCGAGACGTAGGCTGGACGCGGTGGCGAACGCGATGGCGAATTGAGGGATACGTTTGGTGTTTTTTATGAGACGACGACGCTGAAGAGCGCGGGTGAGGACTATCGGCGGTGAATCGCGTCGCGGAAACGGTTGAGTTTTACAACCGCGCGACGCGATGACTGGTAAAGCCAGAGTTCGAGGGTGTTTCCGTTACGTACGGGAACGAGTCGTGCTCGTCCGAACCACGTGCGATGCGATCGTCGATGTGATTTTGTACGATTTTACGTCGAGCGTGAGCGATTCTCGACGGGACGCGGTTGTGAGGCGTGCGACGTCTACTGTATCAATCAAGAGTCTTCTATCGTTCGCGAGATTGGAATCGCGACGTCTATCCTACGTCTAAACGCGAGCGCGGTACCGTCGTCGTCTCTTCCGTCCTTGGCCGCTCGCATCGCCTCGAGGAGCTCTCGCTTGGCCGCGTTGGTGAACGCCTTTTCGTCCGCGGCGTCCGCGGCGACGCCGGGAAGCGTCGCGAGGAGTAAAACCGTCCCGAACGTCGTCGATACCGCTCGCCCCCTATCCACGTACGCGCCATTTTCGCTCAACGCCGGGAGTAACGCGGGAACGTGCTCAGGACGCGCGCGCGAGACGTCGTGCAACACCGCCGTGGCGCCTCGCGGACACCGCGCGAACAACGACGCGATCGAGCGCTGCAGCG